CTTTATTTGTAAAAAAAAAATAAACAAACTAAAAAAAAAAAAAAAAAATACCCGACTGCTGTGTGTTCTGGGTCCCGGCCTGTGTTGCCGCCAGGGACGCGATCCCCCGAGCGAGTCAGGCCGGCTGCTGTGTGTTCTGGGTCCTGGCCTGCATTGCTGCGGGGGATGCAATCGCGTCCCCCACGGTGAGGCAGGCTGGCTTCTGGGTCTTCTGGGGCTGCCCTGGATGGCAGTGCCCTGGCGGCTCGCGCTGTCCCGCCCTGCCTGCAGTATGCAAATTAGCCGCCATCTTTGTTGGCGGTTAATTTGCATATCACACACATTAGCCAATGAGAGGTGTAGCGAAGGTACAGTCAATTACCATGTTTGTCTATTATTAGATAGGATTGATTTCATAGAGGAATGGAGAGGGAGAGAGAGATAGAAACATCAATGATGAGAGAGTCATTGATTGGCTGCCTCCTGCATGCCCCACACCAGGGATCGGGCCCGCAACCTAGGCATGTGCCCTGATCAGGAATCGAACACTGACCTCCAGGTTCATAGGTTGACACTCAACCGCTGAGCCATGCTAGCTGGGACTTTCTTTCTTCCTTCCTTTCCTTTTCTTTCTTTCTTTCTTTCTTTCTTTCTTTCTTTCTTTCTTTCTTTCTTTCCTTCTCCCTCTCTCTCTTCCTTTCCCTCTCTCGCTTCCTCTCTTTCTCTCTTCCTCTCTTTTTTTCTTCCTTTCTTTCCTTCCTTTCCTTTCTTTTCTCCCAGGGAAGAGTTGATGTTGCAGCTTAAGGCCAAAGCCAGTCTAGAAGCAGAATTCCTTCCTCCTTAGGAGATCTGTCTTTCCCTTTAAGACCTTCAACTGATTGGATGAGGCCCAATTGTGGAAGGTAATCTGCTTTGCTCAAAGTCTACTGATTTAAATGTTAAGCATATCAAAAGTATTTTTATAGCAACATTTAGGTTGGTGTTTGACCAAACACTGGGCACTATAGTCTAGCAAAGTTGAAACATACAATTCATGATCACAGAAGTAACTAGACTCTGAGAAGGATGCCAGAGTGCAGGAAGTTTATTGAGGAGCTCTCTGGGATCAATATTTGTGGAAAGGAAGGGAAGCAAGCAGGATTGGTCAGAGGAAGGAGGTGAGCTGTGATACAGCCCCAATGTCAGCCAGCCCTATGGACAATTCTGAGGAGGTATGAC